TGAGGGTTGCGGGGCAGGGAGGAGGGAGGATAAAAAGGAGGAGTTGATCCCAAGGACTCAATGGAAAGTAATTGTCTAGAAAAGAATGATGGAACCTATGTACAAATACGTTGGATACACTTGATGTATGGTTTGTAACAAGAGGTATAAGAGCCCCCAGTAAAATGGAAACAAAAAAAAGAATAGGCAAAGATTTATGGAAATCATCTTCCTCACCTTTCATACTTCTTAATTTTCATCTAGTTTATTTAATTAGGAAACCAGCTTAGTTGCTCCTATTTGAATCACTTTCCTCTGAAAATTTAATTGTATCAAAAAGACACTTTGTATTGTTTAAACTTATGGTCAATTGACAAACATGTGTCTTTTTTATATGTACATTGGGTTATCCCAAATGACAGATTAAATATTTTTAAAAGTTGGAAGAGTCTGATTATGTGAGTCCTTAAATATTGCTATGTTAATAATTTATTTCATTAGTGTTTACTAAATTTATATGGATAATATCTGTGCTTTGAGATCACTAAAATCTCAAAATCATTTGAATATATGAGTAAAGATTGTTTTCAGAATAAACTGAGGAATATTTAAAATAAAACTTGAAAAAAAAAGTTTTCATTGTAAATGCTTAGAAATACTTTTTAAATTCCCAGAATTCTTTTGCCTATATTGTGCAGGTACTCATGCACTAGAAATATTCCCTGTGATGATGTGGCTGTGGCCAAATGAGAGGTAGAACATAGTGACCACTCTACTTTCTAAAATAGTCCATTAATATAGAAATTGTAGGAGAGAATATAAAGGAAAAATTACCCATCAGAAACAAGATGCTCGCCTTATTTTTGCTTTGTCCATCTGTGGTAAACAACACAAATTTCAGTCCCAACACACTGATGAATTTCCACATCCCAGTGATCCCTGTTCTTGCAACCAGAAGTAAGACTGAAAACAGTCTGTTATTCATTTATATAAGGAGCTTTGGTGGCAATGTGGGATAAGTGTTGGGCTGCTAACCACCAGGTCGGAGGTTTAAACCCATCAGTCGCTCTTTGGGAGAAAGATGAGGCTCTCTGGTTCCATAAAGATTTACAATCTCAGAAATCCCAGATAGGGTCCTGTGATTTGGAATAAACTCGATAGTAGTGGGTTTGATTTGATTTTATATTTAGATGGTAAATATGTGTATGTTTCTTTTGGATTAATAAAAATTGACTGGATGTCTAGAATACATTATTTTAGCTTTATTTAGTTAAAGGATTTAAATCACTATGAAGAAAATAGCAGAGTAGAGAAAAGAAAATGGCCTAGAGCCTTGCTTCTGACTGATAATTTTCCCACCACATTCTCTACTCCATTTTCTACTTTATGTCAGATAAAGATACACCCTATGAAAAGAATAATAATATGGCAGGGCACAAGGACGGTGAGGGGAGAGAGCTTCTAGTCTCGATAGAGGGGATGGGGACAGCTTCATTGCAAAGGACAGACATTATCAGACTGCGATGAAACCAAGAGGTGTTGCTGCGATGTCAGGCAACCACATGTAGTGTGTTTTACTTCTACGGCTTAGATTCAGCTTAAAATAGCAATACATTTGGGATCATTTATATGGACTGCCGAATTTGACAAAGAAAACCGGTAAGGGAAAAATCAAAAGTTGGGAGAATTAGCCATTGACATCCTTTAAAGGGACTTATGACTTAAAAAAACAAAAAAGGTAATGTAAATCAATAAAATGATAAGATTTGAACCATCTAAAACCTTATTCAAACTGGCATAGGGGATCAATATTTAGTACTTTTTTTTTTTAAGAAAAAGGATATAATATCAATTAGGGACTAGGGTTTTGACAGAGTTATTAATAGAAAGAAATACAAAATTTATTGACATAGAACATCACAAAAATGAGTTATTCTTAGGGAATATTATTTTGTGTCTGAAAACATGCACATAGAGGCTATCTATGCGTGTCTAAGTGGCAAAATAATGGATTATAAACACATACAGTCCTCTTCAGATGTGTCCAGTAGAGAGCTGAGGTTTGGACTTGTCCTCTCCTTACAATGCAAAGCCACTGCACTCTACAGTTCAAAATGACATTGTTTATTGATTTGCATTTCTCTCAGGTAGCTTTCATCTGGATCCCAGACTATCAGACAGACAGACACAGGGTAATACTTGTCCTCCATTTGTCGAGTGACAACCCGCATGCTCTGCTTTGAGTAGGCCAATCGACGTGGCAGTTCAGAGTCCCAATGAAGTAGTGTCAAGAAGCCACTTGGAATCTCTTTCGTGATGAAGTCAGTGTTGTCCTCTGGAATGACTTAGACGGGTGTTGTGACCCTAAAGCACCAAATGACAACACTTATGAAGAGCTTGCATATGTGACTTCTCAAAGTTTTATACCCTCCATGTAGATGGTACATTGACGTCATTGAAAAAGAAATGTCCATCAGTTTTAATGTTTTCAAACAAAGAAATCATCATATACAAACAATGCCATTATGGGTCCAGAGAAGTACAAAGAGCGCCCCATCCCAAAGCCTCAGTGCTGAACATTGGAGTCCAATTTGCAAGGTTCTTTAATCCAAAGGAATATCATTTACCTCAAAGGCCTGGGACAGGGAGTAGGGACCTGTGCCAGCTCTGCTACGTCACAGCAGGAGGGGCAGTGACGCTCCCAGTGCCTGCAAGACCCTCTCCGAATCTTTACTGTTTCTCAGCCATAGAACAAATGTCTACAGAGCAGTAGCTCCTATTGCTTTTGACTTACAACCAAAGGTAGGTAAGAAGACATATAGCCAATTAATTGTCAGAGAGAAAGAAAATAAATCTTTAGAATTTCTTCTAAAGAAGTTCTTTGTGTGTTTTTTGGTGTGTCCCTGGTGGTCACATTGAGAGAAATGAAAACAAACCAAAAAAAGATCTCTGACCAGGAAAAGCAATGGCTGTTACCAGGTACCGTATATATTCCAGTATAAATCAACCCGGATATCAGTCAAGGCACCTACTTTTACCACAAAAACGGCATTAAAAATGTGCTGGAAAACTTGGCTTATACATGAGTATATATGGTAATTAAGAGAATACATTGACTGGGATCCAAGAACCAAAGTAAGTAGTGTTGTCTTCCTCTCGAGAAATATTCAGTCTGGTAAATGAGACTGGACAGGGCCATGAGAGTAATCTTTGGTGAAAAATGAGGATAGCAGATTGAACACAAATTAAAAAGTATACTTCCTCTCTAAACCTTGACATCTATGAGCCCAGCAATCTTGTAGACATCTCCGCCCGGCATGCTGAATCCCACACCTCTAACAGTGAATTCTTCAACACTTCTCAGCATCCCTTCCAGTAGCATCATCTACTGCCCTTTCCCAAAGCCCTATTTCTCAGTCTTCAGCGCCAGCATTGTTCAGATCCTACAGAATTTCATCTGGATTCCAAAGTCCAGGCCCCTTTCAGGGAGCCTCTCTACCCACTAGGCCACCTGAATGTTAAGTTGGGTGGTCCAGCTAACCCACCCATTCTCATCACCCCTTTCAGTCTTCTTTACCAGACTGAAGGTCCCTTGAAGCAAAGGCCATACCCGTCTTGGTTCTTGGATGTCCGCACTGAGCACAGGCTTTTGTACAGAGTGAGCCCTAGATACATAAAACAAAAAACCAACGTCTCTGCCATCGAGTCCGCTCGGATTCATGGTCACCCTCTACATAGTGAGCAATAAAGGGATGTGGCTGCTTTATCCCCACCCCTCCGTCCTCAATTATGTTCATTACCAGGTAATGTAGGCTAATTTTTAGAGAAAGAACAGTTCTCACAGACAGGATAACTAACACTGTCAGAAAACAAACAAGAGAAAGACAATTAGATGGCATCAGCGTTCAGAGGCATCAGCCTATGGGAGAATCTTAAAGGGCTCAGATATCACCACATTATAGAACAGGATGCAAAGTGATATGAAAAGTGATCATCCAACATTATCAAAATGTTTAAATGTTACTAAAGTTATTCTTCAATTATATTAAAATATCTAAAAAGTTAACATCCTTTAAAATTACAGTATTCTATGTATAATATAAAAGATTCAGAAGTTTTGAGTAATGTATGCTTGGTGCTGCCTGGGTGGAATAAATGGCTACGTGCTTGGCTGGTAGCTGACAGGTTGGTGGTTTGAGCCTACCCAGAGGCTTCTGAAAAGTCACAGCCATTAAAAACCCTCTGGATCAGTTTTGAGCACACCTGGGGTTACTGTGTGTAACCAACCAAATTCATAGGCATTGAGTCAAATAAACAACTCATAGGAACACTATAGGGCAGGGTAGAATTGCTCTTGTGCATTTCCAAGGCTGTACATCTTAATGAGAGTAGAAAGCCTCATCTTTCTCCCATGAAGCGGCTGGTGGTTTTGAACTACTGACCTGTGGTTAACAGCTCAATGCATAACCTACTACGCCTACCAGGGCCCCTTGGGTCAAGACCCACTCAGTAGCAACTAACAGCAGCAGCAATGCACTTGGTATTGAGCTAGATCCTTTTCATACATTTTCCCATAACCATTTCGCACATGTGTCTGGTCATCAAAGAAGCAATTGAGGCACAAAGAGGAGCCAGCATTTCTAAGACTGCACAGCTCCTAAGTGGCAGAGACAGGACTGTCACAGGACATCTGCCTCCTGAGCTGCCCTCTTCACCTCGAGGCTATGCAGTGCCCATCATTGTTTTTGAAATTGGGAACCTTACTGCTCTGTATTCAAACTAGAATTTTATTTTCCAAATAGTATAGTAGGCCGAGAACAAGTATTTCCCTGTAAATTTCCTAATTGCCTCATGCCTTTTAATAACTAGATTTTGGGAGAGAAATCATAAAATTTCACGTCGCAGAAAAGCACGTCATCTCCATAACAGAAATGGAGAGTGGCTTCCATAAGATGCATTTCCATGGAACTGTGTGTGACCTCCTCCCTGGGGGACAGACAACCAAAAAGTGGATGAAGGGAGACATCGGACAGGGCAAGATATGACAAAATACCCATTTATAAACTATCAAGGGCTCATGCGGGAGGGGGGAGCGGGGAGGGAGGGGAAAAATGAGGACCTAATGTCGGGGGTTTCAACGGAGAGAAAATGTTTTGAGAAACGATGTACAAATGCGCTTTACACAATTGATGTGTGTATGGATTGGGATAACAGTTGTATGAGCCCCTAATAAAATGTTAAAAAAAAGAAAAAAAAAAAAAGATGCATTTCCTTTGTTTCCGGACACTGAGCAGGCGAACATTTTCCCCCAGCATGATTTCACAGGAAGTAAGTCCTGGTTGCAAAGAACTGCGATTTGTCCCTAATGTCTGCCCACAGACCTCAAATTTCTGCCACATCCCTGCTCATGGCCCGACCAGGCCTATCCAAACACATAACTCTTAGTGCCTCTTTCATCAAATCTGGATTCCCCAACTTACATCATCATATTTACATATAACGACAGACTAACCTGTCAGAAAACTTTGGCCTGTCCACGAGTGGCCTGCAAATCCCACTGGTGTCAGGGAACTTCTTCGAGGCGAGTCTGACTGTGGAAAGAAAAATAAAATGATAGAATGGGTTTTTTTTTCCTCTAACATTTTTCTAAAATCTAATTTATAGTTAACAGCTGACCTACTGGGAAAGCATGGGTTGTGCTTGGTCTGGAAAACTGGTCCCCAGTAACAGTTCTTTCTCGGCGAGGCGAGCGCTCCAGACCGTCAGGGACCGCACTTAGCACACGGTTTTGCGGATTCCTCCCTCTGTACTGAAGGAAGGACAACCCATTCTTGTTTAAAATACATGCAGTTCTCACACACACACACACATACAGGTGCTTCTATCATTCTCTCATTATCTATTCACTCATTTATCAGAGAACATTATTTAGATATTGCTGAGTCAAATGATAGTGTATCAAGGCCCTGAAGGATAATGAGATCTGTCTTACAGAAACAGGCCGGGATCCAGGAACTGTTGCATTCTGCTCCCCAGTCTCGGAGCCGATCGGGGGCAACCTGTTCCGCAAGGTTTGAACCGGGGAAGATCTGTGGTCTGTGCCAGTTTGCCTGCAACACAACAACACAGAACTGAGGACCCAGGTGCAGAGGGTACATCCTGCCACCATGCTCTTGACCTGGTCTGTCCATCGCAATCGGCCTTCCAGAAGAAATGCTCGCATAGAGTGGACTCAACTTCAGGAAGGCATATGGTGAGGAGGGGACTTCCACCCCAGTCCTATTGCCCTCGCTGAGTAGTCCCTATCATTCTGGGTCTACGAAGTGCACAGCTATGCTCAGAAAGTAGCCAAAGACCCAGTTCTTACTCAAAGAGCTAATGAGTTACCGAAAGCAGGACTAAAACTTACAGAGAAACCAAAGAACAGTTTGATATGGATTATAATAAAATGCTATGGTGTATGATCGGAAGGGAAGCACTATAGAAATTCAGACAATGGGGTAATCAATGGGGGAAAGAGAAAACAGGCAGATTCATGGAGGTGGGATAAAGGGAAAAGGAAAGTGGAAATGAATTTCAAGTGCAGCCACAAAACAGAAGAATAACATTAACAATGTGCAGGTGCAAGACTAGATCAAGAGCAAAACTTTACAAAGAAGATGAAGGCTATCTATGCATAAACATATATATATTTGTGTGAGACTATTACATGTTGTGAAGGTGTAATCTTTCCTACATTTTAAAGTGATGAATGTTATGAAGTGGAATGAGGTCCGGTGGTTAGTGTTAGATGCCACGGAGTCAGCTCCAACCCACAGCGCCAGTGTGCAGCTGAGGGAACCCTGCACGGTGCTGCGCCACGCTCACGATCATCCCTCTGCCTGAGCCACCCTACCGCCTGTCCACTTTACCAAATGTGACGTCCTTCTCCAGGGATTGGTCTTTCCTGACAGGATGTCCAAAGTTTGTAAGACGAAATCTTGCCATCTTTGCCTCTAAGGAGCGCTCTGGCCCGTCTTCTTCCAACGCAGATCAGTTTGGTCCGTGGTACTTTCAACGTTCTTCTCAGCACCACAGTTCAAGTGCATCAATTCCTCTCCAGTCTTTCTTATTCAATGTCCAACTTTTGCAGGCATATATGCAATGGAGAATACCATGGCTTAGGGCAGGCACAAACCTTAGTCCTCAAAGTATCATCCTTGTCCTTCAACACATTAAGAGGTCATATGAAGCAGATTTTTATCCATACACTGTGTTGTTTGATCTCTTGACTGCTGCTTCCTTGAGCGTTGATTGAGGACCTAAGCAAGACTAAACCCTAAACACCTTCATTTAACATGATGTCACCTAATGGTGCCATTGTGAGGATTTTGATTTTCTTTACATTGAGTTTCAATCCACACTGAAGGCTACAATCCTTGATCTTCATCAGCAAGTGCTTCAAGTCCTCCTTACTTTCAGCAAGCAAGGCTGGGTCATCTGCATACAGCATGTTATTAATAAACCTTCCTATAATCTTGATGCTGTGCTCTTCTTCATATAATCCAGCTTCTCTGATGACTTGCTCCGCATACAGACTGAACAAATATGGTGAGAGGATACAACCCTGATGTTCACCTGTCCTGATTTTAAACCATGCAGCATCTCCTTGTTCTGGTCACACAACTGCCTCTGGATCCAACCAAACTCTGAGACAAGTTCTGGATGAGCACAATGAATATTCTTGAATTCCCATTCTTCTCAAGGTTATCCACAGTTTATTATGGTCCAATTATTAATTATTTATTTGACAAAATTAATTTTAAAGTTCGTTTTGCAGCCTAGGTGAGTAAATTATAATAGAAGTAATCATAAGAGCTCTCCCTTAAGGCATCTGGTTCTTGCAAAAGAGTAGAGATTGATAGTCTAGAAAATATACTAATTCATTTATTCATTATAATAAACATATGAAAGCTAAAATATGATATTTTTGACATCTGAAACTATGATGTTTTAAAATCCATACTGTATATAAAATTT